TTGGGGCCGGCCGAGTGGCGCGATGGTTAAGAACTGGCTTGGGACACCAGAGGGCCCCGGTTCGGATCCCACATATGAGGGCCAGTGACTCTGCCGTGTGTAGCCAGCAGCCAGCGTGAGCGGTCAGCAGCCACAGTGAGCGGCCGTCCAGAAGCCGGCGACTGATCTGCCTCACCCGGGAGGAGTGCAATGGTGGTGCCAACTTGGGCCAGTGAGGCAATGTCCTCCACAACTAGACTGAAGAACAAACGACAGCAACTTGTCTGTTCCCCTTCCCCAATTCCCCAGCGCTGTTCCCATACCCCCAATTCCCCAATAAAAATCTTTTTTAAAAAATTGGCAATTGGTTGAAAGTGGGTCTTGAAGGATGAATATCAAGTCATGGGGAATGGTTAATGCAGTGGGTAGGAAATGTTGCAAGTTGGGGGTATAATGTCAGCAAAAACACAGAGGCATGGAGGAAATACAAGTTGTAGGAATAGATAAATAGGTCAAAGAAACAAAACTGCTCAAATGTTGACTCAGGCATATATGACATCCAGTATGTGTTAGAGGGAGTATTTCAAGTCAATGGAAAAAGGAAGCTGTTGCGACAATTGGCTAAAGGATTAAGTTGTTGGATCCCTATTTCACATCATTCACAAAAATAAAGTCCAGCTAGATTGACTCAAACATAAAAATGAACTTTAAAATTAATTAGAAGAAAAACAAGTATTCCTAACACATTTTTATTTATATTTTTCAAAGGTATAATATTAGTTGCACAGCACAATGATTAGGAGTCTTCGGTTTTGGTACTTACCACCCTGTAACTGTCACCTTCCCAACTTCTCTGTGACTCAGTTTCCTAAACTGTTAAATGGGGATAATAATGGGATTGTACTAAGGATTGGATGAAATAGTGTCTATATGCAAAGCACTTATCATGGTGCCTGATAAGTGCTCAATAAATATTGGCTGTTATCATAATAATTTTTGATGAAGTCACCTAATATCAATATAAAATCTCCCCTCTCCCTTTTTAAATTTGGCTTTGAATTTTATTTAGTCAGTTTCTAATATTGCCATACCAGCTTCTTCTTGTTCTTGTTCTTGTTCTTGTTGTCTGATAAGTCTCTTATTTTCAGCCTTTCTGCCATTTTATCTAACATAATGTTTTTTATAAATAGTACATAGCTGGATTTTGTTTTTTAACAAAGTCTGAAAGTAACTTCTAATAGGATAATTTAGACCACTTACATTTAATGTGATTATTGATGTTTAATGTATTTCTGCCCCTTATTTTACAATTATCTTGTTTTCTGTTTATTGTGTTTATTTGTTTTACATGGACTGAGCCAGGTCTCCTTATTCTTATTCTCAATTTGCTCCATCTTTTCTTCAGTATGTTAATTTAAATAAGTATAAGGTGTGATCAAAATTAATTTAAGAAATTAATTCAAAATTATTATTTGGTATTGTTTATCANCCCCCCAATTCCCCAATAAAAATCTTTTTAAAAAAAGTAGGGTTGTATACAGTCATGTGCTGCATGAGGATGTGTCAGTCAACTAAGGACCTCATGCCATGGTCCCATAAGGTTACGTTGGAGCTGAGGGTGAAGTGGGTCAAATATGTGGTGATAGAAAGAGAACTGACTCTGGGTGGTGAGCACGCTATGTGATATATAGGTGATGTATTATAGAATTGTACGCTTAAAACCTATATAATTTTACTAACCATTGTCACCCCAATTTAATTTAAAATAAAGATAATGGAGCTGAAAATTTCATATCACTTGTGACATAGTAGTCATCCTAATGTTGTAACGCAAGCCATTACTCAAATACTTACTATTGTGTTACAATTGCTTACAGTGTTCAGTACAGTAACATGCTGTACAGGTTTGTAGCCAGGAGTAATCAGCTATACTATATAGCCTAGATGTGTAGTAGGTTACCATCTAGGTTTGTGTAAGTGCACTCTATGATGTCCCCTAATGATGCATTTCTCAGAAAGTATCGCCATCATTAAGCAGCATGTAACTGTATCTTATTTCTTTACAGCTTGCCTTTCTCACTAAAAATAAGATGCAAAAATCTGTTCAAGACAATAGATAGGAAATCTCACTCTTCTCTCTTAAAAATGATGTGTTTGTTATGTAGTATAGATAATACCTACACATAGGAAAAGTTCAGATGAGGGTCCAGCCCTAAGTTTATCTCCCTAGAAACAACCACTGTAACCAGTTACCTAATATTTACATATCAAGCACATGTATATTATTTCTTCAAATAAATATCTGTAGAGCATCAGTAGA